ACCCTCACACTTAGAGACTCGACCACATTAGTGAGCCTCTGCAAATTTTACTTTGACTTCGAGCACTGATAACGATGTAATTGCATGTATTTGCACCCCTAATTCTTATCCGTTTGAGAGGCATAGTCATGTATTTTGGCCTATTTTACGCTGGGTTGTGCTATTTTGTCATATTTCAGGTCCCAGGTGTCAAAGGAAAGGTTAAGCACGAGTTTCGGGGCATTCGGAAGTCATTTCGGTGAGCTGGAGCCAAAACACGGGCAGACCTAAAACAGAACACGGCCGTGTTCTGTGGCCGTGCTTTTACTGCCGAGAGCAAAGTCGAGTTGGGCAAATTTTGGCTAAAAACACGGGCTGGAAGCACGGCCGTGTCCACCAAAGCACGGCCGTGTCCATCATCAACCACGCCAGTGTTTCGCCCAATGCACTGGCCGTGTAATTAACCCTAGCCAAAACACGGGCGGGCTGAGGCATTACACGGCCGTGCCCTCGACCGTGCTTTGGCCACTGATGCCCTTTTAAGCAGATTTTCAGCCAAACAGAAGGGGATTCGAGTTTTGAGAGAGATAGAGCGATTCCTAGAGAGAGAAAGTGACAAACAAGAGTCTCCAAGTGCCCTAGCTTGATCTTCATCACCATTGGAGGCCAGTTTGAGCTTGGAGGAGTGCCAATCAACGTCCAGGAGCAGGAATCCATCCTTCACAGTATGAATTCCGCATCTGATTATGCTTTTGCTTCTTTCTCCATGGAGTAGTTCTCCCATTCATCTGGGTATGGAGAACCCTGGATTTGTATGTTAGGCTTTGATTGTATGAACCCAAGTACTGATTCTATGATTTGATTATATTCGATTGAGGTTTGAATGATTGAATGACTTGAATCCTGATCAAATTCCTGTTGTTTCTGCTTTAACCTAGAATGAGAATATCTGCCTAGGTTGATAGAGCATCCTTGATTGAAGGTAGGGAGTTGGTGACTTTAGTCGAGGAGCCAACTCACTATTCTGTACCGGATTTACTCCGGTAGTGGAGGTTTTGTTTGTTAAGGCCTCAATCTGTTTACTCTGGTGGAGGTTAGTCGCCCGCTAGAGACTCAGATTGAGACGGTCTGAAGACCTTTAGTCGAGACTTCAGGCTGTTTAAGAACCTTCCGCAGTATAACTATCATAGAAACTGAACTTGGTAATTACAATCCGGCTTAACTGCAGTCTAGGGGGAACCATATCCGGGTGACCTCTCTTAACCTGAATACAACAGTTTACTTGCTTTGTTAGTTTGATAGTTTAGACTTGCATTCCAGTTTCATTGCTAGATAACAAGAATTCACTGAGTAGTCATCAGATCTAGGACCCAGGTTGACATATAAACCTAACCCGCTATACTACGCTTTAGGAAGTGGTTTCACTTGGCCAATTCCTGGAGTGACAGTAGAAGTGAGTCAAGTTTTTGGCGCCGTTGCCGGGGAACGGCTAGGTTGTTGAAGAAAAGTGATTTCTGTTAATTTAGCTTTTCCTTTTGCTTTGTTTGCTTGGTCCCACTTGTGCCTTCACGGGTTTGCTTGCTTGAGTGTGTGCAGGTAGTGCATGACCCGTAGCCAGTCAGGAGGTTTACTGCCGTTGAATCCAGAAATTGACCGCACCTGTCGCCAACTCAGGAGACAACAGCGAGCTAGACTGGCTACGGAAGAGCGCCTAGACGGCCACTTGAGTAGCGATTCTGAAGAAGAGTACGGGATGGACGGAGACTACAATCAGCACCAGGGGAATCCTCAGCAGGCTCCCCCGGTGAATCAGGTCCTGGGGAACAACCCCATACCCCAGGATCATGGAGTTCATCATCCACCGCAGCCGGGTCCCACCTTGGAGTACTACTACACTCCTCGGATTGCTGACATCCGCCCGGTCATCCTCTACCTGCCTATTCCAGCAAACAACTTCGAGATCAAGCCATGCTGGATTCAGCTCATCACATCCTCTATCCAGTTTCATGGCTTGAAGGATGAGGAGGCCAGGGTACATCTGTCCCGTTTTCTACAGCTGACAAACGGGTTCAAGCTGAATGGTGTTCCTGATGATGCGATCCGCCTTCATCTCTTCCCCCATTCTCTGGCGGGGAATGCTAAGAGGTGGTTGGAGACCCAGCCCCCATTGTCCATCACCTCTTGGGACAATCTGGCTGACAAATTCGTGCACAGGTACTATCCGGCATCGAAGACTACAGAGATTCAGCGGGAGATCACTCACTTCCGCCAAGAGCCAGATGAGTCACTTCGTGATGCTTGGGAGCGGTACATGGGATATTTCTGGCTGTTTCCCCATCATGGCTTCAGTGATGCATTCACAGTGGGGAACTTCTAAAGTGCTCTTTCCCCAGATAGCCAGAGGGTGATTGAGTCGTTATGCCCAGGAGGGGACGTTCTCACTAAGACTCCACCCGAGCTGAACCAGATGATTAATACTTTGGCTGCCAGAGATCATTCCTGGGGACAGAGCAGTAGAGGCAGACATTCCCGGGATCGTGGTGTGCACGCCATGGAGTCCAGATCCGGACTCGAGCAGCAGGTAGCTGAGCTAGTGCAGAAATTGAAGCAGCCCAACAGTCTTATTCCGGGCAGAGGTATGGCTACACCTCCAGTTGCTCAATGTCAGTGGTGTGAGAGCTCGAATCACTTAGTGGAAGACTGCCAGGCTATGAGGGAGTCTACTACTCCCCAAGAGCAGTTGGATTTCATCGCCAATGCTCGGCGCCTCGACCCGTACAGCAACACATATAATGAGGGGTGGTGCCAGCATCCCAACTTCTCTTGGGGCAGCAACACCACTAAGCCACCTGGTTTTCCAGCACCAGCTGGTGGCTTTCAGCAGAGGCAGCCCTTCCAGGCTCGACAGTGCCCAGTTCCTTAGCAGCAGCTCTAACAGCCTAGGCAGGGGCAACCACAGCAGCAGCCCTACCAGCCTAGGCAGGGGCAACCATTCCAGCAGCCCCAGCGCCAGTTCGCCGAGCCAGCAGCAGCTCCAGTTCCAGATACTCAGATGACGAAGCTGGAAAATATTCTAGCTTCATTCATGACTAGCACTCAGGCAGCTATCACGTCACTGGAGGCAGGTAAGAGGAACCAGGGTGCCATCTTGCAAGATCTGTAGAACCAGGTGGGTATCTTTGCCCGCCAGAACACCACCAGGGCACCAGGGACTTTTCCTGCCACCACTGTTCCGAATCCTCGTGATCCTAACCAGCTCCAGCAGCTTGATGCCATCACTACCAGGAGTGGCAAGACCACATCAGCTGCTCCTGCCCAGCCCAGTCGAGATGAGCCACTGCCTACTTCAACACTTCCAGCTGATACTGCAGAAGTGGGGGAAGACACAACAACGCCTGCTCCCAAGCCACAGCCAGTGGTTAAGGAGCATGTACCTCAGCTCCCTTTCCCCACTCGCCTGCATAAAGACAAGCTGGAGACTGAGTTTGCCAAGTTCATGGCAATGTTGAAGCAGGTCAACATCAGCATGCCGTTCGTGGAGGCACTGTCAAAGATGCCCAAGTATGCCAAATTCATGAAGGATCTCCTCACCAACAAGAAGAAACTTGGGGATCTTTCGACAGTGATGTTGAGCGAGGAGTGTTCTGCCATCCTGCAGAACAAGCTGCCCGAGAAGCGAAAAGACCCATGGAGTTTCACTATCCCTCTTGTTATTGGCAGCATGCATGTAGGGAAGTCCTTGGTGGACCTAGGCGCTAGCATAAATGTCATGCCTTATAATTTGTTTAAGAAGCTAGGCCTAGGTGAACTTAGAACTACTAGGATGAGCATTCAGTTAGCTGATCGTTCTATCGTGCATCCTAGGGGTATCATTGAGGACTTGCTTGTTAATGTGGGTGCATTCACATATCCTGTTGACTTTGTTATTTTGGATATAAATGAGGATGTGGATGTACCTTTGATTTTAGGTAGACCGTTTCTCGCCACCGCCAAGGCGCTTATTGATGTGCATAGTGGTAAATTGATTCTGCGTGCTGGTGATGAACAGGCTACCTTTTCTGTGTCTGAGAATGGGAAACACCCTCATTTGCATGATGACATAGATTACTGTGATATGCTTGCTGATTTGAGACCGCACTCGCTATAACGAGTGCGGGTACTGACGATGTTCTTGAGCGTTGTATTTTGCTAGGTGAGCAGGCATCGCAGGAGCCGCAGCTGGCGGAGCAGTTGGCCGAGTTGGAGAGTGGCCCCTTCTTCGAGGGCGACAGGCTGTTCAAACCGATCTCATCCTCCACCCGCATCGCTACTTCCTTGGAGGAACCACCAGAGTTGGAGCTTAAGCCCCTCCCTCCTCATTTGGAGTATGCATTTCTCCGGGAGGGGAATAAGCTGCCAGTCATCATCAGCTCGAACCTCACACCCGAGCAGAAGACCAGACTGGTGACCTTGCTGAAGCGGTACGAGCGAGCTCTCGCATGGAAGATCACAGGCATCCGGGGATCAGCCCTTCTTTCTGCTCCCACCGGATGCTGATGGAGGATGAGATACGGCCAGTGAGACAGCCGCAGAGGAGACTGACACCGAACCTGGAGGCTGTGGTTCGGGCAGAGATCGTGAAGCTGCTGGACGCGGGGATCATCTTCGCCATTTCCGACAGCGAGTGGGTCAGTCCCACCCAGGTGGTACCCAAGAAGGGTGGGATGACTGTGGTGCCTAACGAGAAGAATGAGCTGATCCCGATGCGCACGGTGACTGGATACCGTGTCTGCATTGACTACCAGCGTCTCAACGACGCCACTCGGAAGGACCACTTCCCGCTACCATTCATTGATCAGATGCTGGAGAGACTAGCGGGGCACGAGTTCTACTGTTTCCTGGATGGGATGTCCGGGTAATTCCAGATCCCGATTGCACCGGAGGACCAGGCGAAGTCCACTTTCACCTGCCCCTTCGGCACCTTTGCGTACCGGAGGATCCCATTCGGGCTATGCAATGCCCCGGCTACTTTTCAGCGATGCATGCTCGCTATCTTTGACCGTCTGGTCGGTGAGATTATGGAGGTGTTTATGGACGATTTCTCGGTTTATAGAGACTCATTCTCTCACTGTCTCCATAACCTGGAACTTGTCCTTAAACGGTGTGAAGAAACGAACCTGGCACTGAGTTGGGAGAAGTGTCACTTCATGGTTCGAGAAGGCATAGTTCTTGGGCATAAGATCTCCAAGATGGGGATTGAGGTGGACAGGGCGAAGATCGAGACTATCAGCAAGCTGCCTCCTCCTACATCTGTTAAGGGGATCCGGAGTTTCCTTGGTCATGCAGGGTTCTACAGGCGGTTCATCAAGGATTTCTCGAAGATTGCTCTGCCCCTGACTAAGCTTCTAGAGAAGGATGCCCCCTTCCAATTCACTGATGCATGCACAGTGGCTTTCACGACCTTGAAGGAGAAGCTCACACAAGCTCCTATCATGGTTGTTCCTGATTGGTCCTTACCATTCGAGATTATGTGCGATGCTAGTGACTTTGCTGTTGGAGCTGTGTTGGGGCAGAGGCGTGATCAGCATTTCCGACCTATCTACTACGCCTCGAAGACCTTGAATGATGCCCAGGAGAACTACACCACCACGGAGAAAGAGCTGCTCGCGGTGGTGTTTGCCTTCACTAAATTTCGTCCTTATCTGGTCTTGTCCCATGTGATTGTGTATACTGATCACTCCGCAATTCGATACTTGATGAGCAAGGTTGATGCCAAGCCTAGGCTCATAAGATGGATCTTACTGCTGCAGGAGTTTGATATTGAGATTCGGGACAAGAAGGGAGCAGAGAATGTTGCTGCCGATCACCTCTCCCGGTTGGACGCACCCCCTGCGGACAACCTCGATTAGGAGATCAATGACTCCTTTCCAGATGAGAGACTGCTGATGATGTGCCTGGTGGAGAGTGTCACCCCCTGGTACTCTGATTTTTCAAATTATCTTGTGGGCCAGCAGCTGCCCAAGGGGATGACAACTCACACCAAGAGGAAGTTCTTCTCCGACCTGAAGTACTACTTATGGGATGACCCCCATCTCTTCAAGATCGGAGCCGATGGGATCATCCGTCGATGTGTTATGGAGAGTGAGATGGAGGGCATTCTATCTCACTGTCATGAAGGACCTGCTGGCGGTCACCACTGAGGAAACCGCACGGCGAGGAAGGTGCTCCAGTCGGTCTTCTACTGGCCCATGCTCTTCAAGGACGCAGACGCCTTCGCACGCAGGTGCGACCGATGCCAGAGGTCAGGTAACATCTCTGCCCGTGATGAGATGCCCCAGAATGTGTTTATTACTTGTGAGATTTTTGATGTCTAGGGTATCGAATTCATGGGCCCCTTCCCTCCATCCTTTGGTAATACATATATCCTTGTTGCTGTTGACTACGTCTCTAGGTGGGCTGAGGCGCAAGCTTTGCCCACTAATGATGCTAGACGTGTTTGTGGTTTTCTGAAGGCTATTCTCCCGGTTCGGGACACCTAAAGCCATCATAAGCGACCGAGGCACCCATTTCCAGGGTCAGTTCGATAAATTGTTGTCTCGCTATGGTGTAACTCATAAGGTGTCTGTGGCCTACCATCCTCAAACCAGTGGCCAGGCCGAGCTGACAAACCGGGAGCTCAAGCGGATCTTGGAGAAGACGGTGAACCTATCCCGCAAGGATTGGTCCACCAAGCTCGATGATGCTCTGTGGGCATATCGCACTGCCTACAAGACGCCCATTGGTACCTCACCGTACCGGCTTGTCTATGGAAAGGCATGCCATTTGCCCGTGGAGCTAGATCACAAGGCCTTCTGGGCCCTTAAGCTGCTAAACTTGGATGTTAGTGTTGCAGGTGATGAGCGAAAAATGCAGATGTTGGAGCTGGAAGAGTGGCGTTATCACGCCTATGAGAACACCAAGCTGTACAAGGAGCGCACGAAGCGCCTCCACGATGCACAGTTGCGGGGTCCGAAAGAGTTCCAGGTTGGTGATCGAGTTCTCCTTTATAACTCTCGCCTGAAGCTCTTTCCCGGAAAACTCCGTTCCCGGTGGTCTGGACCGTACACGGTCACACAGGTATTCCCGTATGGCACAATTGAGATTGCTAACCCGCAAACTGAGCCGTTTAAAGTGAATGGCCATCGTCTCAAGCTCTATCTGGGAGACGAGGTCGAACGTGCGGAGTTAGCAGTGGAGCTCGCGGACCCTTAGTTCCGCAATTGGCGTCCAGCTAAAAGACGGTAAAGAAGCGCTTGTGGGGAGGCAACCCCACCACGGTTTGCATTTCTACCTTTGTTTTTATTTATTTATTTCATCTTTGTCGGTTTTTTTGAGTCTTTGAGTCTGTCTGGAGTCAGTCTGGAAAGTTTTTCGTGCCTCGGGCGGTTCGTTTTGATGTGTGATTGGGTACATTTTAGAGCCGGGGCACGAATGAATCTTGGTGGTTTGAGATTGAAAATTGAAAAAATTGCATTTCAGGCTCGGCAGTGAAAACACGGGCAGCAGGGGGTCAAAACACGGGCGTGTTTTGCCCATGCCCCGCCCGTGTTTTGCTTTGTGCTCTAGGCATAAAAAGCACGGGCACTGGGCTCTGAAAACACGGCCGTGTTTTGGCCAGAACCCGCCCGTGCTTTGAGGGGGGAAAACACGGGCACGGAGCAGGCGAAACACGGTCGTGTAACGCCCCGCCCGTGTTTCGGCCTCCCCCCTATAAAATCGATTTTTTCAGCCCCCCAAACCAGATCAGTCATTTTTTTCCAAAACTCCCCAGCCCCCCCGGAAAATCGCCCCTTTCACCTTCTCCCTCGATTTTCCGGCCATAACTTCCTCTCCTGACCTCCAAATCACAAACCGCGAGCGCCCCCACGCTCCTGGCGTCGAGGAGCACATTCCCCAAAGATTTGGGCTGGTTTGGCTGAGGTTGGGTCGCCGGCGGTGAGTTTTCCGGCGAGTCTCCGGTGAGTTTTCCGGCGAGTCTCCGGTGTGTTTTCCGGCGACTTTGGGTGCTTCTTTCCACTTCCTTCACCTTTCTCGTGGTCTCTTCTTGAGTCTCCAGGTGTGTTCTCCTTGTCTTTTCTTATATTTTTGGAGAATCGATACCTAGAGTTAGGTGAAGAACTTTTGATTGTGGAATGCATGGTTTGGGAATATTTTGGGTTTGGGGGATGATTGGGCTGATTGCATGTTGAATGGCCTGCGTGATATGTGATTTTTTTGTGATGCCTCGATTGGTGCTATTTAGGACAGTTGTGGTATGCTTGTTTCACCGGGGGCCTAGTCCACTGTCCAAATCGCTCGATTTGAGGGTCCCGGTGTATTTTGCTGTGTATTTCTCGTCTGATGGGTATGTTTGTGTCGCCGGGAGTCTAGTCCGCTGTCCATATCTTTTGATATGAGGGCTCCCGGTGTGGTTTTGGCCTAACATTGACCCCCGTTGCTTGTGTACACTTTGTCCTTCATTGTGTTTTGCAAGATCATGGAGGTTTATCTCGACCAGATGAACATCGTCCAGCGCCATAAACTGCGGAACCTCCGTGACCGCAACATTGCCGAGCACTTTCACCTTGATTGGGGGGTGTTCGAGGAGCTCCATGCCAGGCCATAGATGGAGGCCGCGGTCCGCTCCCCTGCTTGGCAGCGTCTTCTCACCCTCGCCGAGCCGACCTACAAAGAGCTGGTCTGGGAGTTCTATGCCACCTTCCACCACAACTCGAAGGGGAACTCCGACCATGCTGATGCCGTTCAGTTCACCCTCGGCGGGGTGGCGCACTCCCTCAGTTACTGGGAGTTCGCCAACGCAGTTCGTCTAAATTCCCGGACAGCAGGCATGCCTCCTCTCCACTTGGATCTCTCTGATCCCACGGACTTCGCTTCCCAGGCGTACTTCCAGAGCATTTTCCTGACAGTGTGGGTGAAGAGTACGTGGCCAGCCAGACGCGGGCTGCTCTCCTCCGTCCGGAATGGAGGATCCTCAACCACCTGATGTGCACTTCTTACACACCCAGCAAGGGCTCGTCCAACAGGATCACACTCCGGACTCTCTGGTTGATGCATGCGATGGGGCGTTCTGAGGACACCATCCAGCTGGGCTCTGTGCTTGCCCGGACATTCACTAAGGCAGCCATCAGCCTGACTCGCGCCCTCGTTTGTGGCCCGGTGATCACCGCCTTGGCCCGCAACTACGGGGTGGACTACACTAGGATGACATTAGTCCGCGGAGCAACCCCACTCGGCGAGCCTACTCTCCGCCACCAGCACTTGGTTGCTCGCCTCGGGCGTGTGTGCTGGATCGCGGGCCTTCCTCAGCCACCTATACCTGCAGAGGGCGACCAGGCCGAGTCGAGCGCCGCTGGTGGGCGCCGAGTTCCCCGCCGCGTTCCCCGTCGTGCCTAGGCTCCCGCGAGCCCCTCTCCTGCTCCCCGGTCTCCTTCTCCAGGGTCACCCCCTCCAGTGGTGGTGCCCATCTCCGACCAGTTGGCGGAGATCGCTCTGCAGAATGAGCGCATCCTGGCTGGCCAGGAGCGCATCCACACCCGCCTTGATCGTGAGCGGGACCGAGGGCGTCGTCTCATGTCGGGGAAACACTATATCATGTCCTACTTGGGCTTGGACCCGAACGCGGTCCACTACCCGTTCGTGCAGTCCCCAGGGTTCGAGGATGAGTACCCTCCACCCACCGGCGATGGTGGTGATGCCTTCTAGAGCGGGTTTTGTACTTCCTTTGTTTTCTAGACTGAGACTTCGTGTTTTGTGGTTTCGTTTTGTTTTGTTTTGTTTTTTTTTTTATCTTGGATTGTAGACTTGGTACTCTGATTCCTATCACCCAGTGTGTGTGTTTTTGTTGTCTCTAGCTCTGTGCCTCCTTCTTTTGACTGGTCCGCCATCCAGTCAACGTTCCTGCCCACTGTTTCACGGTAACATCGTTCCCCTTCCCTCTGCTCCATTGAGGACTTTGTCGCGTTTAAGTGTGGGGGGGTTCTTTGTATGGATTGGAACGTATATATATGTGTGCTTGGAGCCTAGTCCACTGTCCAAATCTTGAGATTTGAGGGCTCCAAGCACGGCTGTTTGCTTGATGATTGATCGTATTGGCACTGTGGATGTGATTAGTGAATTGAATGGCTTTTGACTTGATACATGACAACTTGAGTGTGACTTAGACAACTTATTGTGATGACTGAGATGTGCAGTAGAATTGTGTAGGGGTTCAGTTTCTCAACTGTCTGCCCACCAAATGTGACTTGGTTTGATCACTTGCTTTTGACAGTCAGTTATGCATCTAGGTCAGGGAATCAGAACGAGAGATAGAGCATATAGGTAGCCATGTGAGATTTGAGCCTGCTCGTTTCTTTCTTGTGCGATAGTTTCCTCTTCCATGATGTGCAGCATTCACGTTGTTATTAGCTAAGATGATGGAGGCATAGGATTAGCCCACAACCAAATTGACTGTCCTAGTGTGTCATACCCCTAGTCAGCCCTTTTGAGCCGTGTGTTTTCCTTTCTTTCGGTCTTCAATGAAAAGTCACCCTTTTGCATCTTTTAGAAGGTTCCACAGAGTGATTTTTACATGTTCTCTGCTATTTCTGCTAAATGTAATGTGAGGGTTGGAGGTAGTGCTTAAAAGTTGGGCAGGTGTTTGAAAATGTGCAGAGGCGGTGGTTTTTTTAAGAAATGAAAAATAATGAAAGAAAAATCAAAAGAAAAAAAAAAGAAAGCAAAAGAGAGCCACCACCAAAAATCTGAGTAGTGCCCATGTAGTAGTGTTTCTTAGCAGTCTGGCTTAGAAATACTAGTATTTATGTAACCTCCTTCGCTCTTGTGCTCTGAATTTGAGTAATGCAGAATAGCAAAAAGAAAGTTATTGGTTTGATTGATTGTGAGTCTGTTGGGTTTGGAAATGTGGAACCTTGTGCTATATGAATACTTCCACCACCTAAAAGGCCTTTTCCCCATGTCCAAGACCCTAGCCAGTCATCTGAACCTGTGTCTAAGACCTCCGGATTAGTTAATGGTGACACCCCATATGTGAACTCTAGCACCTAGAGGCTGCATTCATGATGAAGAGATGATAGGGATTGAGAGATTAAGCATGCGCATTTTTCGCATCATATTGTCCTGACCCCACTGGTCGAGAGTGAGCGATTCATTTTCTCTTATTCTCTATACTCTTTATCCCGGTGAGGACCTAGATTGCTCGGTCTTAATTCTGATATCTTGAACTTTGTGCATGACGTGACTGTTTTGAACAAGTGGTTGAGTTAAGTCTGTGTTGGTTGGTGAACAGAAGGGAGACTCTTCCTTTGCTCGATTTTACTGCATTCGAATGTCATCTGTGGTGGTTGTCTAGGTTGCCATTGAAGTTGTCCATGTGTTACTGATCAAAAGCCAGTATGATCCACGTGTTTTGTGCCGATATGTCATGCCTTGTTGTTTTGATCTTACCTTGTGTCTGACTTGGTTTGCTTGGGGACAAGCAAACGGTTAAGTGTGGGGGAATTTGATAACGATGTAATTGCATGTATTTGCACCCCTAATTCTTATCCGTTTGAGAGGCATAGTCGTGTATTTTGGCCTATTTTACGCTGGGTTGTGCTATTTTGTCATATTTCAGGTCCCAGGCGTCAAAGGAAAGGCTAAGCACGAGTTTCGGGGCATTCGAAAGTCATTTTGGTGAGCTGGAGCCAAAACACGGGCAGACCTAAAACAGAACACGGCCGTGTTCTGTGGCCGTGCTTTTACTGCCGAGAGCAAAGCTGTGCATTCGGAAGTCATTTCTAAACAAATGTTCTCTCGGTTCGGGACACCTTGCGCCATCATTAGTGATAGAGGAACCCATTTTCAAGGGCAATTCACTAAGCTCCTCTCTCGTTATATATGGTGTTAAGCATCAGGTGTCGGTGGCTTACCATTCCCAGTCAAATGGGCAAGCCAAGCTGATGAACCGGGAGCTTAAAAGAATAATTGAAAAGATGGTGGATCAGTCCTGCAAGGATTGGTCCACCAAGCTCGATGATGCTCTTTGGGCGTATAGGACAGCCTACAAAAACTCGATTGGCACTTCACCCTATAGGCTTGTCTATGGGAAGGCGTGTCATTTGCCAGTAGAGCTAGAGCACAAGACCTTCTGGGCCCTTAAGCTGCTAAACCTGGATTTGAGTGTTGTAGGTACTAAACGTAAGCTGCAACTGCTGGAGCTGGAGGAATGGTGTTACCACGCCTACGAGAACACCCTGCTCTACAAAGAGTGAACCAAGCGTCTCCACGACGCTCGGTTGAGGGCCTCGAAGGAGTTTCAGGTAGGTGATCGTGTTTTTCTCTTCAATGCACACCTGAAACTCTTCCCAGGCAAGCTACGTTCAAGGTGGTCGGGACCCTTCACGGTCACCCAAGTCTTCCCGCATGGGGCGGTGGAGATCAACAATGCTCAAACTGAGCCATTCAAGGTGAATGGCCACCTCCTAAAGTTGTACTTCGAAGGTGCTGTCAAGCGCGCAGAGCTGCTGATCAAGCCCGAGGACCCTTAGTTCCTCTACTGGCGTCCATCTAAAAGATAGTAAAAAAGCGCTTGTGGGGAGGCAACCCCACCACGGTTTGCATTTCTGCCTTTTTTCCTTTTCGTTTTTGTCAGTTTTTGAGTCTTTGAGTATGTCCGGAGTCTGTCTGGAAAGTATTTCGTGCCTTGGGCGGTCTGTTTTATTCTGTGACTGGGTATTTTTTTCGAGCCAGGAAACGATTGAGTTTTGGTTGTTTGAAATCGTGATTTGAAAAAGTGTAGAGGTGGGCTCGGCATAAAAAACACGGGCGCCAGGGGAGAAAAACATGGTCGTGTTTCCTCCCATGTCTGCTCGTGTTCTGGCCAATTGCAAAACGCCCTCTCGGCATAAAAAAAACATGGCTCCAGGGTTCAAAAACACGGCCGTGTTTTGAACCCTGCCCGGCCGTGTTTTCAAAGGGGGGAGGCACGCTCTCGGCCTAAAAAACACGGGCGCGGAACACGGGAAACACGGCCGTGTTTCCGCCCGCCCGTGTTTTCATCCCCCCTATAAAAATCGAATTTTGGCCCCTTCCCCCTCAGATTTCATTTTTTCAAACTCCCCAGCCGCCCTCCTCGCCGGAAAATCGGCCCTTCCCTCTTCTCTAACGGTTTTTCGGCCATAACTCCTTCTCTCGACCTCCAAATCACAAACCGCGGCCAACCCTACGCTCTTGGCGCTAGGGAGAACATTTCCCAGAACTTTGGTCTTGTTTGGCGGAGGTTGGGTCACCGGCGAGTATCTGGCGGGTTTTCCGGCGACTTTGGAGTGCTTTCCCCCTTTTCTTCACCTGCCTTGTGGTATCTCCTTGCGTCTCCAGTGTGTTTTCATGGTCTCTTAGTTTATTTTTGGAGAATTGATATCTAGTGTTTAGGTGAAGAATTTGGGATTGTGGCATGCTTTTAGAATGATTTGGTAGGCCGATGGCGCTCTGTGCTTGTTATATTTTTATCCCGGGACTTCATTTCATCGGCCTTTCATTTGCATGCTGAAAGTGTAGTCATGAATGCTTGTTTGGACTTCGTGTGGTGAATGGCCAATTGGTGGCTTTTCGGGATCAGATTATGTGGTTGTTCCACCTGGAGCCTAGTCCACTGTCGAAATCGATCGATTTGAGGGCTCCCGGTGTGTTTGTTTGCTGTGGGATGGTTATGGATGTGCTTGAAGTGCTTGTCCCACCAGGAGCCTAGGTTCATGTCCATATCTTTCGATGTGAGGGCTTCCGGTGTGTTTTTGCGTAATATTGACCATGTTCGCTTGTGTGGCAATTGTGCGTCATGTTGCTTTGCAGGATCATGGAGGCCTACCTCGACCAATTGAGCATCACTCAGCGCCACCTAATGCGGACCATTCGCACCCACCATATCTCCGAGCACCTCCATCTGGACTTTGGGGTGTTCGAGACGCTTCACGCCCGGTCGCAAATGGAGGCCGCTGTTCGCGCCTATGG